TAATCAACAGAAAGGTCACTGTAAACCTACAGGTAGAAAATCAATGAACTCAGAAAAAGAATGCATATATGTCAAATCTGAACTTGTGCATCCCCACCAATTATTTTCTAATAAAAACAAATGCAAATTCATAAATAACCAATACTAAAAGAAAGAAGAAAACCACGTGGAAACAACCTTGAGTAAATCCTTCAAGAACTAACATCATCAAAATACATTTTGCCATCAACGGTTCACAGTTGTTAGGTTGCAATGAGATATTCAAATCATCAAGAATTTTTTATGATGCATTTCGTACATATAGTGCAGGGTTAAAAATCTAAAAGACTCTCAGACATGCTGGTCAATTATGAATATACAGAAATAACAGATGACAATATACTCCATAATTTAAAATATAGTTCCCTATAACACTTCAAATTAAATCTATTACTTCACCAGCTAAACACATATGTAAACAGACACAATATCAATACATAAAAATGATAGGTATGACTTTAAAGTAATCAACTTATGCCAATTGGACTTCAGAAAAAAAGATGGAACTATGTAATGCACTTAGCCTCTACGAAAACATAATAATGTGGAAATACAAACAAGGGCAATAAATTATATATATTTAAATATTTATGCATTATCTAATGATTTCAGCTGACACTAGCAGGTCTTAAACAATTCAGAGTCTAGCTGTCATGAGCTAATTCTGGAAACAAAATTTTGGAATTAACATTATTGAAAAGTGTGTCATTTGTCCAAATCCGACTCCGTTGACAAAAAAATTAAGTCTAGACATTGTTTTGGACATTAGGATCGTACCTCCAAGCCACGCTGTCCAACTTATTTTTGGGTTGCTTTCATGTTGGTTGGGATTTAGTATATTTAGAGGAAAAGTGGGTGTCTCATTTGGCAAGGGAACTGAAGGGAAAAGTATAAGTGGAGGAGAACCATACCCTATGGGCACATTTTCCCCCCTCCAATGAGGTGACAGGAGAAGATGAACCACTAAGACAACCAAAAACACTTATATTATAAAATGTAGTTTAAGGGAAAAAAGGAAACACGAAAAAGCAAAATTAAGATGATTTTCTTCCCGTTCCTATTAGTAGTTTCTCTTCCTTCTCCTTCCTCTTCCCTTTCTAGAACTAAACAAGCTAGAGTAAATTCACTAGCTAAACAGGCACTCCACGAGTGCAGCTAAGACTTAAGAAATCGTAATTTTGAATACGAAAATTTATGATCTCTATTTCTTCTGAATATTCTCTTAGAAAAAACATTAATCACAAGGAAACTCATCAAGTATTTATTTGGAGACCTTTTACATGAAGAATTGAACCATTGATAAGTTTTCTTAGTGAACTTGGTACTAGACTTGTTGGTGTCAATGTGTCAGGAGTAGGTACTTGCCAAACTGTCAATTTTAGAAAACTTTTCTTGTCCAATGTTACATAGATTGGTCAAAATTCTCACTCAATTGTTTATCAATTATACACACCAAAGAGCACCGCTGATATTGTTTTCAAGTTGGTGATCAGAGTAAAATATTGAACAGCAATACTATACTTTCATCCAAGTGTCAAAAGTATGACACAAGTACTCCAAACACCTTTAGAAGAGTCAAAGCCGGGTGGATTTTAAGAAAGAAAGATCAATACTCAAGCTCAAATGTATTTGCAAAACATAACTCAGGGATGCATACATAATATAAGCACATACCTTTCTACTGCGAAGACTGCAACGAGGACCCTCAACCACAATTTCACTACCGTCCATCTATAAATTATTAATGGATCAAAACATAAAAAGAAAAGTTAAGGGAGAGAAACTAAAAGAATATGAAAAAGAAACAGTGTAGTAAAATAAAATGATTAAGAATCATAGAAAGTTAACTACAAAATGCTGATTGTCTTAATTATTTCACAGAGAAATTGAGATAAAATACATGATTGCTACAAAATGCTGATTGTCTTAACATTATTTCTTACAAACCTTGAGTTTCCGTTTCAGATCATCGTACTCTTTATCACTCACTATTGGATTCCCAGATACATAAGCAATTGACGCTTCCAAAAACCTCTGTTCGTCTGCACCTGCAATATCGAAAAGAAATTACAGCCACTGGGATCAAGTAAATGTCATGAAAGAATAGGACGAGTAAGAAGATAGAAAATATTATTTACTTAGCATCACAACACTACTCCCTTCCCACATAAGTTCTTCCTTAAGATTGTCAAATTCCTCATTTGACATGATAGATTTCCCTTCATAGTAGAATGCCTGTAATTAAGAAGAAGTTCAGAACATGTTTTATTCTACAGAAATAAGGATCACATACAAAAGAAAACGTAAGAGAAGAGATGAGCAAGTTCGTACTGTAGGGTTCCTCTGTTAATACCTGAAGTGCTTGAAGAAAATCTTGTTCCATCTCTCCGAGAGACTTCTTCTGTTTTTGATCTATGCTACAATATGGCAAGACATTGCTGTCGACAACCTCATCTTCTTGAACCTGGCCTGAAAATAAACAAGTGGTCAACCAAAGCAGCACATAGTGTGAGTGCTAGCATGCATTTATATGAAAGTATTTGCGAGTACAAGGTTGCTGTAATACAGAAATCAATATTGGCAATCTTCAAGGAAAGATTAACCCAAAACTAATGCTAATCCTTGTTTAGGAGAGTATTTAATTTCTTAAGGCAATTTTATATAAAGAAGTTGAATGGATTTCCAGGTTTTCATTTCCCTCAACTGCGAAGGTATTCAGCCATGATCTTTGTATGCTCTAATACTATCCGACAGCTCGTCTCAAAGCTTAAGATATTATAGATAAATAATAAATTTGTTCTTCGACAAGATAAACCTTAAGAAAAATTTCCCCAAAAAAGAAATTAGAAATGAACCAAAATGCATATAGGTTTGTAGCAAAGCAATTTTCTTGACAGAAACGACTGGAAATCAAAATACCCAAGTCTCTAAACTTGAAAATTCAGTCACAAAAATAAAGGATCATCAAGAAAAAAAATAGGAAAAGTAGTACATTAAATTCAGACTATGAAACCTAACCTTGCTGATCAGTAGAGGCCCGAGGAGAAATAATCAACAATCTGCGTTTAGTAGACAACTTTCTGCCATTGAAATGAATCGACTGAACCCCTGAAGCAGAAGAACGCGGAGGAGAAGCAAACACAGAAATCAATGGTTTTCTGAACGGTGCAGCGAAGAATCTTGGGGTTGTTATACTGAACCCAAGTTTGGTGGCCATTTGTGGTGGTGCCAGCGGCAGCGGCTGTGGTGGTGGAAGGAGTTGATGGGCTGCCAAGATTTTGGAAGGGATTATGCATTATAAAATCAGGCGTGGGAATTTTGGTGGAAGAAGGGACAGCTCAAAGATAAGGCAAATTAAGAACGTGTGGAGGGAAGTTAAGAATCTGTTTGTCTTGATTTTAAGAAAGAAGAAAATCTATTCCTTCTTCCTGAAACGTTACAAAAACTGCCATGTCATCATCTTTCTCTGAAAAATCTTTGATCCTTGTTAGGATGACACGTGGGTGATACATTTGTTCACGACTTCGTCACGTGGGTCAATGTGAGTTCATGTGGTCTGTGGGTGAGGGAGTTTGATTTTGTACGATAAAGAAATTTGTAAGAAGAAAAACATTATCTACATGGAGGAATTGTTCAAAAATATTTATTTTTGAGAGACTTGATGTAATAGATTTGTCCTGTATTTTTTTACATAGACTGAGGTGAGTTATCCTGGTCTGAATGGAATACAGGATGGGGATGGCTACCACTATGTGCCACTCTCTCGCCGTCCTCATTCATTCCCTCATAGACATCCGATAAAATTGGAACAATAAAGAGAGATTAACGTCAACTCTATGCAAGGATAACATAAACAAAAGTAGAAGAAATGGAATTTAAAGTGCAAAAAAGATCGATCGACCTATACACGGAGATTTGATACAGAAACCTTTACTATGAAAATAAAATATCATTAAAAAACTTATCGAATCAGAACTCGAATGCATTTTATGGATCACAATTTGAAGTTTCGTATAGAAAATTATTCATGTTTTACTCTGTGCTGCCAAGCTAATTTTGAAATGTTTGCTTGAATTGTTGATTACAAAATAATCGTCTTTTTCCAATAAGAAAATTTTACTTAACTTAAGTATGTTGTATATTTTGCGTTATCCTTAATGGAGATTTCAAATTTTTTGCCGTTAAAAACTCGTAAGGTTTAATTATAACTGTCAATCCTCCAAACTCTTCCTAATTGGTTGTCGTTGTAACACAACCTCACATTAGCCCCTTCGTGTTGGCCTGGGGGCACAACCAGCAGTGGAGCCTGTCCGTCGAAGTAAGGGGGTCTCGAAGTTGAAGGGGTGGGGGGGCCCACGATTTTTTTAAAACATTATCTGTTAAAATGAGGGAAGTGATACTTTGTGATGGAGAAAGGAAATAAATGAACATAAATTAATGTACATTATTAACAAAAAAATAAAGAAACGTATAAAAGAAAGTACTAATCTTTAATTTAGCAAAATCATACCTTATTACAAGTGTTCCTTTCGAATTTAAGTTTTTGGATTAGTAGGGTTTAAGCTTTTTATTCTCCCTAGGACCCCCCTTGCCTCCGCCCCTGGGCACAACCTCTAACTCCCGATGCCAAATCGATAAGGGTGGCTAGCCTATCATCGTACTTCAACGAGAGGTTGCACGAGCACGAGGGATTAAGACAAAAATATTTACCTCTAGAAAGTAGAAGCAAACTTACCTCCATAGATGAACAAATTATCAACAAATATCCAGAGCAGAAAAGTGTCTCCACTTTCTTGTAAATCAATATGAAAGTACACAACTGTAGCAGCATTTATAAGAAAAAATTTGTTTATTTTATTTTATTTTTATTAATTTCCCATACAGTTTAATCTTTCCAGAACTTGCAAACAATTCATATGTCCCAAAGTTCAGAGTAACAGCCTGAATATGCTTATTGACAATTACTCGAACTCGATTTGAGCCTGCAAAGGTTTATTGGAAAAGAAAGCTTCTAAGTTTCTTAGGATGAGCTCTTGGAGCCTAGCAAATGATTCCAGAGTTACAACAGCACGATGAGGAGACAGCACAACATTATCCAATGCAAATAGCTCTCCCGGTACATTCGGTTCATTCTCAAAGACATCAAGTCCAGCACCTCCGATTTCACCTTGCACCAAGGATTGTACCAATTCCTTCTCATCGATCAGTGCTCCACGTCCAACATTGACAATAATACTGTCCTTCCCCAAGGCAGTCATAACATCCTTGTTAACTACATGGTAGGTTTCATTTGTCAATGCACAGCAGAGAATCAATACATCGCTGTTTGCTGCAAGATCTTGAACATTTTTATGATAAGGGTACTGAACATTGGGCTTCATCTTCCTTGAGTTGTAGGCAATGCTGCAGCCAAATGCCTCGACCCTCTTAGCAACCCTCGAGCCAATGCTGCCCAATCCCACAATTCCAACTCGTTTCCCGCTCATCTGAAATGATAACAGATGACATAACATTGAAAAGTTCATACTCATCAACCTCAACAAAAGTTCATATTCACATTCGTGTAAAACTTTCCCTCCCTCTTTTCCTATTAGATTGCTAAACCCAACCGTTCCCCATTCAACAACAAAAATGTTTAGAACAATTCATGTCAAATATGATACAGAGCATCGCTTGAACATGAGGGTAGGCCTATTTGATAAGGGAGCTCTTTACGTGAGGTCCAAATGAATAGTGCTTGAAGTGTGTCTCTCCTAGAATTGCGGTTTTAGAAGAATTGCTATCGTTATTCTGCATCAATATCCTAGCCCAAGAACTACACAAAAACGTAAATAAATTACAAAAAATATCTGAGTACTTTGAAAATTGAATCCAATAATCTATACTCATCACTTTACCTCATATTTATTCAAAGGAAATTAATCACATTGCAGCTGCTTTCTTTACTGGTTTGCAATTCATAATTAGACCGAAATTCTTTTGAACGATTAATTAATTAATTTCAGTAAAATGAATGCAACTACTTTCTTTATTGGTTTACAATTCGATAATTAGACCAAAATTCCATCAAATGATTAATCTAACTGCAGTATAATTAAATTTAGTTTAATCTTTAACCTTGGAACCCAAAGGATACTCTTTCTTGACGGGCCAATCCCCGGACCGAATGAACCGGTCGGCCGAGGAGATCCGCCGGAGGACATCAAACATTAGTCCGACAGCATAGTCCGCGGCATCGTCGGAGAAAGTATCGCCGGCATTGGTAATGCGAATTCCTCGGCGGCGGCAGGCGTTGAGGTCGAAGTGGTTAACCCCTGCGCTGGAACCCACAATGCACTCCACAGAGGGGTACTTTTCCAGGTCCTCCAACCTCACAGGGGTGGGGCCCAAACAGACCATGACACGAGCAGATTTTGAACGGGTAGTGAACAACGGATCGGGTGGGTCCTCGAGCGGGTCAAGGACTGTGTACCAGGTCTGAAGCAAGGGAAGAAAAGAGAGATTGAAGCCCGGTAGGCGGTGAAGGAGGAGGATGGGGCGGGTCGGTGAATGTTGGATTTCTTCGGATTGACATTGTTCCGAGGCCATCGAGTCAGTGACTGAGTAATGCTATTTTGACTGAATAAAATGTTGAACACCCGGATAGTTGAGACGATAATCATGCTACACTTATTTTTACATAGATAACACGTGGCGAAGTTGCATTGAAAGTTGGGGGAAAAAAATCCAATCAATGCAGCACCTGCAAAAATTCTGCAGGTACAGGGAATATTTACAGAATTTGTATCCTGTGCATTTATGTGTGTGTTTTGTTTTCAACTTTGAATTTGAGTTGTTGATTTTAAATTTCTATACTAATTCTGTAAAAAATTTCTGTACTTGTAGACTAACTCAAAATTCTGTGAGCCAAAAGCCTATAAAATATGGCTTTTTACATAAGAGCAAGCCTCGACCGGCGTCATTTTGTACTTATTATTTGTTTATATTTGGCGGCAATCTTGATTAAAGTTGAATGAAAGTAATTATTTTATTTAAAGTAATACTAATTTAATTAACTTAGTTTCGACTTTAATTAATAAAAAACAAATATTTTTTTCCAAACTTACTTCTTTAAGTAAACTTTTTAGCTTAGTGAAACAAACTCTTGTTCAGTTATAACAAACAACCTTAGTTTCTATTCTAAACACAGTTTTCGTTCATAGTAATTTCTAACTTGAAGATTCATCAAGCAATCATAAAATTGAGTTAGCTATCCCCAATCTAAAAGTCACTCTAAAAACCTCCAATTTTTTAGGAGAGAATATTGCCTATTTTTTGTCGACAAAGTAATAATTAGACAATCAATGAGAAAATGTGTTTTGTACTTAATTATTATCCATTAGACTCTTCGTCAACTATTCTTCAACCTTCATTAATTACATAGTGATCTGTTCTTGACAGTGAAAAAAAAAAATCAGATTCAAAATTCAAATACCAAACTACAACTTCCTTCATATCTGTCGGAGTTTTTAGAAATTAAGGGAAAGTAACTGGAGTTCCAGTTGTTGAAGAACGCTATGTTCTTCGTGCGTCCAGAAGATTTCACAAAGTTGAGAGTTGTCGCAGGAGAGCACAATCCAAGAGAGATTTGGAAACTACATCCGAGAGTTGTTGGTGCAGGAGCACAAAATCCAGAAGAGCTGTTGGAATTGCAGTCAGGTGATCAGATAGTATGTGCCGTCGTCTAGTCTGGTAGACTGTAAGATATAAATCGTTTATAGTGAATTGTTGACTGGCAAAGTGCCCGAAATTTTTACCCAATTGGGGTTTATCCGTGATCATACCGTGCGTTATTTATTGCTTTGTTTATTGTTTTTATATTCTGCGGTATTCAAACATAAGTTAATTGAACTGATTGCATAATCATCTAGAGAAAATCAATTAGTGACTTGTTACTAATTTATTATAATTCAATAATTCTGCATCCTCACATCTTCCCACCCCCTATAGGTGTAATNCATGCCGTGCGTTATTTATTGTTTTGTTTACTTTTTTATATTTTGCGGTATTCAAACATATGTTAACTGAATTAATAACATAATCATCTATAGATAATCAATTAGTGACTTGTTGCTAATTTATTAATTCCGCATAATCAACTATTTACCTCCCTTTAGGTGTTGTTAGGGTCAAACTACGTATTTTCAGACCGTTTGTGGGATACTCGTATTTATTTCATGTATTATGTTATGCTTGACAATTTGTTAGAGTTCTGTGATTGATTTATCTATATGAGAAGAATGTTCAAAATATTCTACCAAGATAACAAGAGTTTAGGAATAGTTGTTTCATTCGTCGTTTAATTCTTTTGTCTCGGTTTTACACTTATTATAGGCTGTAAACTTATCAATTTATGTGTCATTTAGCAAGGTGTTTCTATCGATTTCGGTTGCTTTTCATTTGGTTTAGGTTCGACCCTAATTTGACGAGAAACGAGGAAATGGAGATGAAAAGAGGATCCATAATGGATTGTTTGACAAGTTGATGCGTAGATAGACAACGTGAATAGCGAATGGAGCCAACAAGATACAATGAGGAGGCCGAAAGAAGAAAAAGAAAATTGAACTATCCCTTGCTCAACTTGCGAATTGCCTAATTCTGTATTCGAATGTTAGTTGTTGACCCCAAAAAATGTTGCCAACAGATGCCGGGCCCACTCGTGCACACGTAAACTTTATCCAACACACTAATGCCGATCGACGGTCATGAAGACTCCAGAGAATGAGCGTGGGAGTAGCAAAAAGGCACAAGACGTCTCCGTTCAGGTCACCGGCATAAAAGAAATACGATTGTATAAGAAACCAATCGGTAGATGACAGGATTATGTTGTAATGAAAATGTTGTAAAAATGATGTTGAAACGAGAGAAATCTAGCTCCAAAAGATTCAGTTTATTCTCCAATTTTGCATTAGTCAATTTCTTGTTACATGGTTGGGGTATTTATAGTGNCTATTTTTTGTCGACAAAGTAATAAGTAGACAATCAATGAGAAAATGTGTTTTGTACTCAATTATTATCCATTAGACTCTTCATCAGTTATTCTTCAACCTTCATTAATCACATAGTGATCTGTTCTTGGCAGTGAAAAAAACATCATATTCAAAATTCAAATACCAAACTGCTACTTCCTTAATATCTATCAGAGTTTTTAAAAATTAAGGGAAGGTAACTGGAGTTCCAGTTGTTGAAGAACGCTATGTTCTTCATGCGTCCAGAAGATTTCACAAAGTTGAAAGTTGCTGCAGGAGAGCGCAATCAAGGAGAAATTTGGAAACTACAGCCGAGAGTTGTTGGTGCAGGAGTACAAAATCCAGAAGAGCTGTTGGAATTGCAGTCAGGAGATCAGATAGTATGTGTCGTCATCTAGTCTGGTAGACTGTAAGTTATAAATCGTTTATAGTGGATTGTTGACTGGCAAAGTGCCCGAAATTTTTACTCAGTTGGGGTTTATCCATGATCATACCGTGCGTTATTTATTGCTTTGTTTACTGTTTTTATATTCTGCGGTATTCAAACATAGGTTAATAGAACTGATTGCATAATCATTTAGAGATAATCAATTAGTGACTTGTTGCTTATTTATTATAATTTATTAATTCTGCATAATCACCTATTCACCCCTCTAG